AAGCTTTTCTGTTGTACGATGCTCTTCCTAAGCTTTTATTGAATGTTTCGGTCTGAGTGGAAAATATTCTTAAAGAAGAGTCTCCACTTATGGACAGAATATTATGACCATCATTTCCATAGAACCTGATAACAATATGAAATATACGTCGATTATAAGAGTGTGCCAAAAAATGATGAAAATTAATTGTAAATAAGGAACCGTACAAGCTCGATATCTAAAGAATTAAGTACCTTATCATGGTCGGTGGTTCTGCATGTCCTTCTCTAATTCTTAATAATCTTCCCGCTCCATCCGCTAGATCAAATATCCAAAGCTTTAATGTATTATCCGGCGATGAGGAGACTATTAAGGGTTCGTTTGGAAGATATTTCAATCCCGCCACAGATCCAAAATGAGCATTTAAAATTTGACTATCGATTTTACGGTTTTCAAGATTCCAGAGCACTATGTGCCCTTGCAGAGTACCAGTAGCCATTATTGGATACCCGTCGCTTCTGAACGAAATAGAGGTAACGGTTCCCCAATCTTGTACGACTTCAAAAATTGTTTCGTCCACTTTTAAATTATGTAAGACTATTCTACCATCTATTAAACCTACGGCTACAACATCAATCGCAGGTGCCTGTTCGATGACGCTTATCGAACAATTCCAACCTTGGAATGTATAAATCATCTTGATTGTTTTAATATTCCACAATTGCATCTGTCCTTGTTCACTGCCCAACAGTATTTTATTTATATATGTATTTGGATGCATTAAAGCGGTGATTTTGAAAATCTTATTGCTAAAATTTGATTCTGCAATAAGTTCTTCCAGTTTTATATTCCAGATTTTTAAATTGCTATTTTCGTCAATGGAGATGAGATGTGGTCCAAATGGCAAAAGTAAATGAATTTGGTATTCGTGACCAGTGTAAGTATGCTTCAACTCGTTTCCTCTCCTCCATGCATAAATTTTATTACTGCTGGCTGTATAAACATGAAACGTATCAGCGGCCAGGCAGGTTATATCATCCGGATGAGCTGCGGATACACTTAGCAAAGTGAAATGCGAACAGCCGTAAGTATGAAAACTTCTCCCTGTACAGGTGACTATTAGATTTTCTTTTCTGCGTTGAATGTATCGCGTTACCACTGGAATGTGATTGCTCACATATCCCAAAGCACGATTTCGTTGAAATATTTTACTGTGAGACATCTTTAATAATCTTTGCGTTGATTTTTTTCATCGATCCGTTATAATTTCGCGAAAACAAACAATTTTTTTGCACTCGCACGAACTTTAAAAACAAAGCTATCAATAACAAGTCTCAAAGGATAAATACATTTAAACAACCGATTTAAGGTTAGGAAAAAACCACGTGCATATTTGTATTTCCATTGGACCGCCTAATTATTTCATGTGGCTCATCCCCGCCTATCTGGTGCAATCAAACACTATTTACGTCTGCAACAAGCACAAATGCATATAGATGGGGAAATAACGGTCGGCTAAAGAAATAAAAGGTATAAATGAAGTATCGAGATAATTGAGAAAGTGATTTGAATTCTGGTGTCGAGTGATGAAAAATCTAGTCCATGCACGTACCTCTTTCGCGTTCAATTGATTTCATTCACTAATATTATATTTCTTGTCACATTAAAAACATCCCATAGATTTAAAAAGCGATTTAAAATACTTTGATAAATCAATTTTTAAACTCTTGCGATTATTGAATCAAGTGTGGAGCAAGCATTATCGACATATATACATACTACATATATATATATATATATATATATATATATATATATATATGTTTATGACAAAAAAGACTGCTTATTTACAGCTGAATTACAGCTTCTGATGCTTATGAAAATACGTTTCAATTTAATTTACTTGGGATAAACAGCATTTAAAAAATATAGACATTTTTAAATATCTATGCTGGATTCGCGTAACTTATCACTTTTTACTTTGTATAAATGTTCCTTCAATTCCCAGTGCATGCAACCTCGAATTTCATATATGCTCTACCCACGCAATCGCAATGAGGAGTTCGTCGGTGATGTTGGCTGCATTGGCTTTTCAAAACTTTGATTTTCGAACGCACGTGACTGCCAATAGCCAATGGGAAAAGTCGCCCTGGATGGCCCGAATTTTTAATTCACAGTGGACTTGGGGAAGTATGACATTATAGCACATGGGAATTCTCTAGTATTCTATTAAATAATTGTTGGAAAAATGTCTTTACCGGATAAGATGTTAATGCGAAAAATCAAGAGAAGGGAGAGGAATAAATTGAGAATATTGCAAAATCGAGAAAACGAAAAGGAAGACGGTATAGTATTATTAGAAGTTGGTATTAGAGGTTAAGAAAGTACAAACAATACTTAATTCTCCCATTGATTGTAAATTCTCTTGGTAAGGATTAATTTTTTTCCGAATTACATTGCATTTATTTTTAATAGATATTGCGAATGAAAAATCTGTGCTAGAGAGGGAAGAAAACATTCCAGCAAAGAATAAAAGAGGAATTAAACGTCAGTCCGTGGAGGATGAACCCGTTTCCAAAAGTTAGACACGATTATTATTATTTAATGAATTTCGCAATAATATTATTTAATAATTGTGTTTGTTTATCTTCATGCAGACAAGAGGAATAAAGTTAAAGTGAATGAAATTGAGGAAGAGAATTCTGATGATAGTAAAGAATCGATATCGGAAGCTGAGGTCAAATGTGAAAGTGAAAATGAAAATGAAAATGAAAAGGAAAATGAAAATGAAAATGAAAATGAAAGCGAAGATGAAGATTCTAATTCTGAAGAGGTGGCAAAGGAAGCTTCTAATACAAATTGTATGTATTTTTGGCGTAAAGCCAATATGTTCATCTATAAATGGTTTATGTATAATAATGATAAATTTATTAATAGTGCCAGGATCGTCGATCGGTTTGGAAATTCTGAAAGACAAATCATTTGCCTCTCTCAAAGATAATGTTTGCGAAAAGACCTTAAATGCTATTGCAGAGATGGGATTTAAGGAGATGACTGAAATTCAAGCTATGTCAATACCGTCACTTCTCGAAGGACGAGATCTTGTTGGTGCAGCAAAGACCGGATCTGGAAAAACCCTGGCTTTTCTCATCCCTGCTGTAGAACTCATTTATAAACTCAAATTTATGCCTCGTAATGGTATATATATTTTTTCAATTTATCTTGTCGATAATCAATTTAATATTTACATTACTTTTACATAAAAGAATTAAATTATATTGTTGATTTGTCTCAATGGAACTTTCAAGTTCTTAAAGCGCACATTGTATATTATCTTTAATAAGCTTAAAAATTAATATTATATTTTATTAGGTACTGGATGTATAATCATTTCTCCAACTCGTGAATTGTCGATGCAGACCTTTGGAGTACTCAAAGAATTAATGAAGTATCATCATCATACTTATGGTTTATTAATGGGTGGTGCCAGCAGACAGACCGAGGCTCAAAAATTATCGAAAGGTGTTAATATAATTGTAGCTACACCTGGACGTTTACTCGATCATCTACAAAATACTCCTGATTTTATGTACAAAAATCTTCAGTGTCTAATTATTGATGAAGCCGACAGAATTCTTGACATTGGATTTGAAGAAGAACTTAAACAAATTATTAACATTTTGCCAAGTCCGTAAAGCTAAATAAAGTGAATTTTTATCCGTTTTCGTCAAAGTATTTGATTTATTATTCGTTTAATCGTGTTTTCAGAAAGAAGACAAACTATGCTTTTCAGTGCAACTCAAACAAAAAAAACGCAAGCATTGACAGGAGTAGCATTGAAAAAAGAGCCAATGTACGTTGGCGTTGATGATACCAAAGAGGAAGCTACAGTGGAAGGCTTAGAGCAAGGATATGTTGCTTGCCCTAGCGAGAAAAGATTTCTTTTGCTGTTTACATTTTTAAAGAAAAATCGAGAAAGAAAAGTAATGGTCTTTTTCAGTTCTTGCATGTCCGTTAAGTACCATAATGAGCTTCTGAATTATATTGATTTACCAGTGATGAGCATTCATGTAAGCTTTTTTACTAACTCTACTTTTTCTCAATATAATATCGAATGTTTCCAATATAATTAATTACAGACAACTGTTATAGGGCAAACAAAAACAAACCAAAAGAACGACAACTTTCTTCCAATTTTGTAATGCACAAACGGGCATTCTTCTTTGTACCGATGTAGCTGCCAGAGGTCTTGACATTCCAGATGTTGATTGGATCGTTCAATATGATCCACCCGATGATCCAAAAGTAATGACAATTTCAATTATTCTTATTAAAGAAGAATCACCAATTGCATTATATATGATATATTTATTAAGGCACAAGAAAGCAAGCGATCATTATATCATTTTAATTGGAAACAAGGAAAAATTTTAATTTTTGGTCCTATAGCCATAATGCATTTAAATTTCACGTTAAATTACTTATTTGTGCCTGCCTTCCAATCCAATAGCTCGGATAAAAATGAACATATTTTCATGCATATTTAAGTTTCTTTCAAAACATTCATCAAATTCATTTAAAACATTGAATAATATTTCCATCTATGATAATCAATCCTCATCAATAAGTTAATTTAAACATTTATTTTTTTAATATCTTCAAAATAATTTATTATTAAAAGTTTAAAAACTCGGATTTTATTCTATATATATATATATATATATATATATTTAATATAATGTTGAAATAAATAAATTTATTGCATTCTGTAGGAATACATTCATCGAGTTGGTAGAACAGCTCGTGGCGAAGGTGGTAAAGGTAATGCTTTACTGATTCTTCGTCCGGAAGAACTTGGTTTCCTTCGATATTTGAAACTAGCTCGGGTTCCTGTAAATGAATTTGAGTTCTCATGGAATAAAATAGCAGATATTCAGCTTCAGGTAAAACTTATTCAACATTTAAATCCCATTATTGCTTCTGTATATTTAAATTATTTCGATATCCTTTTTATTGATACGCTATTGTGTTGGAAACTATGTAGGGACTATCTCCTATTTCGTTTATTTTAAGCATTCGAAAGAAAGAGTTTATCCAAAAATATCGTGTTAAGAGCTAAAATGATGATAGTTTGATAACAATTAGCATTCGATCTAAGTAAAGAATTGCAGAATAAGAATTTGAATATAGTATTTAGCAATGATTACGACCTCTGCTTATTTTAGCTTGTCAAAGTCATTGTTCTAAATCTATGATTATGTCATTCATCCCTGTAGCTTGATTAACGACTCCATATAAATTAATTGCCACAACGCGCCGTGACGTAACGATAAAATTGACATTGATGCGTCGTCATGGTTCGCATATAAAAAATCTCAAAATGTCTGTGCAATTATTTTCAGTGACAATATTCTGCAAAAGACTAAAATAACGATAATAGCTTCGATTAATACTTTCATTAATAAATTTTGAGATGTTATTATAATACTTTAAACCATATGATAATGAACATTTAAGTATTTTGCCAAAACTTGACTTGATATTGACTATGATATGAACTAACAAATGCTTATTAATACGAAAATGAAATTGGATTTTTGATATAATTTATGAAAATTGTACATATGTTTGTTGTAATTAATTGTCTTATCACTTAGTTCCGATAAAATATATAATAAATTATAATTTAAACATTTTCAATTGGCATGAAAAGAGCTATTTTAATTATGAAAAATATTTAATATATTTTACAATATTTAATTTTGTAGAGTCATCTACCTTTCATTAGTTATTAATTAATTATTTCATAACGTTACGATGTTTTTTTTTTTTTTTTTTTTTTTTTATATCTATTACGTAAATAAATATCCTACTTGTTTTATTGAAATATATACGACAAAAATTAATTTCTTTACAAAAGCAATAAGTATTTATTTTATTTTGAAAAATTTTTTTTAAAACCAAATGCTATATCGTTTATTTAATCGTAAGTAGAATGTAATTAATTATTTTTACATATAAATGAATAATACATAGTCTACATGTATAAATCATTTATTTCAGTGTATAAGAAAATTATTATTATTTATATTTTACATCGTGTTACATATTACCTCTTCGTTCTCTATTTATCAAATAATTAATATTTATATATTGAAAAAATTCATACTATGAAGGTAGATAAAAAAAAAAAAAGTAGATTATTGATCACATGTTGTTTGAAATACAGATGACTTTAGACAATTTAATATCAATGTTATTTAACTTGTGAATTGTCGAAGTATCGAAACATATAATTGATGTGTAATAATTAAAATATCATAATTCTTGTTTTAAAAATTTCTTTGATTTTATAATAAATATTTAAGTCAATATTTTTATTTAATTCATATATTAACTCTATTATTTGTTATTTCGATCATTTTAATAATTTTCACAATTATTTAAAAATATTATGTAATATTCATTTGTTAACTATTGCAAATAATATATTTATTTATATTATTATAAAGAATATGTAGATGTAAATATATCTGGAATGTGTTGTCAATTTCTCGCATCTCTATGACCTATATAATAAACAAATTAAAATTGTTGATATTGTAGTTGATTTAATGCTCAAGCAGTGCTGATAAATCAAATGAATAATTAACTTTCGGAGTATAAAGAAATATTCTCTTCTCACGTTTAATGCCTAAGAAAAAGTTCTGTAAATAAAATGTTCACTCTTTACGAGATATACTTTAAATTATTGATTCAAGGCATTTCTTCGAGACGACGATTGAAAAATAATTGAAAGATATTTAAATTTAGTTACTGTAGTGATTCAAGAAGTCTTAAAGTCGAGATTTTCAACTTTAAAATAAAAACTCAATGACACGTGTCGAGGAATATCTAGTCGGAGAAGAGCGTGTGAAATAGGCGGAGATCTTTTAAATGACACGAACGTGAAAAATTGAAAAAAACTGTCCATCCTCGATTTGCGCATTGTCCGTAGGACGCGATTAAAATTTGGAAAAAGGCAGGAATAAGTTTAATTGTGGTGTCGTCGAAATTTCGACAAGAGAAATCGAGCGGCGGTGGCGGCGATGGAGGCGATGGCGGCGGTGGCGGCGGTAGCGGCGGCTTCAAGTGCGCGCGTATAGGTAGAACACCAAAAGGGTCCATATTTGGTGAGGAGATGACGCAATGATCTCCGACTATCCTTGACATTGAAAGATTGTAACTGTACATTGACAAATGGTAAGGACGCGCGGCACTCGGATAAATAAATTGTTTACACAAGCCTCCGCGCTCCACTAAATATCCATCGTTTTCCAACGGTCGAATGCTTTTTACAAGCATTAGACGCACTTAAAATTTAAGCTCCTCGATCAATCCTTGCATTTTATCTAAAAACCGGCTAGGCTCAAAAGCCGACGATCCACTTTCTTTACTAATTTAATTGAACGCGCGCGTAAGGAAAGCCAGTGGTTTTTTGTTTATAGGGTCTCGTGCAATGACGGAAACTTCAGCGGTGGTGACTTCAGCCTCGCGGGTCAAATAGAAAAGTAAAAGGAGTAGAATTGCAAGGAGAGAGACCCCCCCCTCCTCCTCCTCCCTCCTCATCCTCATCCTCATCCCCCCCCGCAAATCCCCCTTCCCACCCTAATCGATTGACTTCGATTGCTGCTGTTCCCCCCTCCCCCGTTATCGTACCTGACTAAATGTTACTGCGATTGAAGCGGCACTAACGGCGTGTAGTCGCGAGCCTCTTTGAAAAGATCCTTCCCATTGCGAAAGATCTTCCTTCGATTGCATGAGCGCGAATGAATTTCGCTTGGCGAATACTATACGATGGTCTGCTCATTTTGTTAAATCAATCGATAGAAATCGATCAGCGCTCACTTGCATTGTCGGCGCATGAAAACTCAACGAGGAGCGAAATTCGATTTTAATAAAAGACTGAAATTGAGCATCGAGTCTTTTGTTTTAGCGGTCAATTTAAATAATTGAAGATATATCGTAAAATCTACTTGACATGAGAAGATGCGACGATCTAGTAGAATGTAAAGCACATTGAATTAACAAGGAAAGAGCAATAAAATTTTATTACGCGAACGCGTGAATTTGTAAAATTCATTATTTCTTAGCGTTAAATGTGATTTCATTGTATTAAAAAGCATAAATTAATCAATCAACTAATTTAATTTTTAATTCCTTAATTACAAATAAATAATCTCGCAAACTTTATTTGTCTTGGCATATTTTATTTGTCTTTGTTATCGAGTTGTAAAGCATGTATAGACAATATATCCAAATTTATTGCTATCGATTGTTTGATAAATAATTAAATAATTCAAGTGAAAATCCGATTTCCAAAGTACGGATATAGACAGCCACAATGTGATTTGTTTTCGTTAAATGAATGAGACGAAAAATCCGATGTTTTGGACGCATAAATATGTTGAACGATGTATTTTGTTTCATTTTTTTCTTTGAGCTTCTTTCTCACTTTTTCCATTTAATAATTTTATTGCTTCCAAAGTATGTAAAAAAAAAATCAACTCGTCAAGAATATTTTTTCAATAAACCTATTCATCGTGGAATATTTTAACGTTCCTTTTTCTTCTTTTTTTTCTTTATGTTTTTTTGTTTTTTTGTGTTTTTGTTTTTAACGTTCAAAGTATAATTTGAATTTCTTTTAGTTAATTTAATGGAATATAATGTTGAATAATTGTATATTTAATAAAAGAAAAGACCTTGAGATTGTGATGCAGAATATACTAATATTTAGCGGACAATTGTCTTTGAAATAAATTTACCTCTTTAGATAAGAATTTATTATAAATTCAAATGTTATATGAAGATCATTGCTATTTAACTTTTGCTAAAGCAATTTATTGTTAATATATATATATATATTGTTAGCAATTTTGAATTAACACTTGACATGATTTTGTGCAATAATGGATAATATGATTGCAATACGTTGATGATTGTTAAGTTAATTCTTAAGATCCAGTATGTAAGAGCAATAAAAATAAGTTGAGAAAGCCATAAAAATTCTACCTTTGTAAGTATTTGTTCAAAGCAATTGGAATATTTACCATGAAATTGCAAAATGTAATAATTAACACATCACTTATGAAAACCTCCACAGATTCTTTCAACCGAGATGTTTTTAAAGTCAATTACTTGCAATTGCGAAAAAAGATATGCGTGCCATTTTAAGGAAGTCGTAGGTGAAACATTTTCCCAACAAGTATTAATATTTATTATCTTTTTCATTACGGCTTTTTATTGAAATTTGTTTTTTTTTTTTTTTTTTTATATTATTATTATTATTATTATTATTATTATTATTATTATTACCTTCCACAATGATTGGGATGTAGGTATTTGCATAAAACTGCCTATATATTGACTTCACACATCTTGTATTATTACATTCAATTAAAAGTCCCAATCATAAATGTACAATTTTATTTTATATAGAGTTCTTAAAAAAAAAAAAAAAAAAAAAAAAAAAATAATTCACGTCAAAAAGTATAATTTGAATTACTTCAAAGCAACCGAGTGGATGTAATAATGGTTATTCGCATTTCTGGTAATATTGTTATTAATCGATTAATAATTAACGATTTACAAATTCTTAAGTAATATTAATAAAGATGTAGATTAATGTTCTGTTCGAACCAGTAAAAAAATACTTTATGTCGAATGTCGGTATTTTTAAATAGTCATTTTCGATAATGTATAATAAGTAGTAAATGCCATACGCTGTTTTGCTAATTAGTAAATATTTTTGTAGATTTTTTTGTTATTTATTAATAATAATACTTAATATTCTTTGAACGAAAAATCAGAATTAATCCCTCGAATATCAAACGATACTTAAAGCCTCATTAATATCACATTTAGATATTAAAATTTAACAATATCGTAATTTTATTATTATTAT